AAGAGCAGGTGGGATGTGGTGCTCCCCATTTGCTGTGCTGGGACAGACCCAAAGAAAGGTGGTCCCTGCTGCAAAGATGGAGAAAGAGTGGGACTGTGCCCATCCCCACCTTTCTCTGGTGTGTCCCAGTCGAAGATGATCCAGGCCAGGTAGAGCGCGGAGATGGGCCAGAATCTGGTGAAAACCAGGTAGATGAGGAGCAGCAGGCTGATGGTTCCTGTGGGAGCCAGGGAGGGGGGTGAGTGGGTGCACACCCACCCTGCCAGTACCCCCCGCAGCCCCCTTACTTACCCAGCAGCAGGAAGCTGAGCACCCACTGCAGGACAGAGAGAAGCTGGAGCCAGGAGCGGATGTCCCACTGTGAGGGCCAAGGTGCTGCGAGCAGGGTGCGCAGGGCGGTCTGGATGCTGGCGCGGCTGCCTGAGGAGAAGGACACAGCACCCAGCCCAAAACCAACACGGGTTGCAAAATGATCAGAGGGCTGGAGCACCTCTCCTATGAAGACGGGCTGAGAGAGTTGGGGTTGTTCAGCCTGGAAAAGGGAAGGCTCCAGGGGGACCTTATAGTGACCTTCCAATACCTGAAAGGGGCCTATAAGAAGGCAGGGGAAGAACTGTTCACAAGGGTTTGTAGTGATAGGATGAGGGGTAATGGGTTTAAGCTAGAAAAGGATAGATTTAGGTTGGACATTAGGAAAAAGTTCTTTAATATGAGGGTAGTGGATCACTGGCACAGGTTGCCCAGAGAGGTAGTGGAAGCCACATCCCTGGAGACATTCAAGGTCAGGCTTGATGGGGCTCTGAGCAACCTGACCGCGTTAGAGATGTCCCTGCTTATTGTAGCGGGGTTGGACTAGATGACCTTTAGACGTCCCTTCCAACCCAATACATTCTGTGATTGTGTGATTCTATGAAATGTTGTCCCACTGAGCTGGCAGGGGGGTGAAGCTGGTGGTAGACGTGGCTGCTGGGGTTGGGATACAAGGGTGAGGCAGGAGGTAGGATGGGAAGGATGAAGCAGGTTGGTGAGGAGGGCTGAGATGGGGTAGGGTGGGGAATGTTCATCCCCAGAGGGCTCCGGACTGTGCCAGGAGGTAGCCCTGGGCAGCCCGAGGCTGCTCTGAGGCCAGTCCTGCTCCAAGCGGGGGGCAGCTGGCAGGCTGGGCACCCCCAGCCCAAACTCATCCATGAGCCTGGATACACCAGAGCAGAGTGCAGCAGCACATCCCACGCCATGGCCAGCTCTGCAAAGGCCAGGACCTTTCCCATGCTCTCCTCGGTGTGTTCAGGCTCACAGAGAATTCACGCCTTTCTCAGCTGGCATGGCAGCGAGACAGCGTCCACCCCTTGGCAAGCGCCAAGGACAGTGGCCAGAGGCTGAGCCAGGGTGACCAAGGCTGGCTGTCCCTGCCAAGCCTTGCCTCCCACGAGTGACAGTCCAGCAGCCCATGGCCGCTCCACTCCCCCCACCGCCCCATTCCGCCCAGCAAACCTTGGTAAACCATTAACAGCCCCAGGCCAGGTGCCAGGATCCAAACTCCATGCGCGGCCCCGTCCCTACTCCCCGAAACGGGCCCAAGGTGCCGGTCCTGCCAGCATACCACTCCCGGCCAAAGGTCCACCACGTCTGAGACCACCCGGTACAGCCACCACCGCGACCACAGCAAGCTATGTCAGCTCTTGTGTGACAAGAGCCTTGTTTTCTTGGGAAAACAACCTAAAATTAGGGTGCTGGCCAGATAGAGAGATGCTCAGGGTAAGACAGGAACAGATTTGTCCCCATAGCTCCCCGGGATGGGGAGCCTCAGGTTGGAGTCGAACCACCAAACCCCAGTTCAGGTGGCTGGTGGTGGAGGTTCAACTCATCCTGGCTCAATCCAAACTATGAATGGGACAACTGAAATAAATTAAACACTGGAGCCATCCCCAACATCGAAGAATTGTTTTCCCTCTCCCTCAAGCAGTGTGCCATGCTTTATGCTATCCCTCATGCCCGTCCCCGCATGCCCAGCGAGGCACCCCCAAAAGCCCAGCCGTCCGTGCAGCCCTGCCATTGTCAACTTTCCAAAGCCCTCTTTTTTTTTTTTTTTTCCAGGGAAGACACAGAGCTTTGCCTGGCAAATTTGTGCCTACAAAACAGTTGCTTTTTTTCAGTTCCCTTTTTCTAGCTCCCCCTGAGCACTCCACGAACATCCAAACTGCAGATGGAGAACGGAGAAACCCCAGGGGCTCTGCTGCTGACCCTGTCCACAGCAACAGGGGCCTCTTCAAATCCAGAAATTCAGACTCCATGGCCCCAGGGCAGCAAGGAAAGACGAAGGGGAATTTGCAGCCTCTGGAGCATCTTGTGGGAGTAATGTTACTGAACGCATTGTCAGACATTTCATTCCTGTTGAGCAACTGTATGTTTTCCTCTGGTGCTGCTAACCCCAAATTGCTCTGAACACCTCCCTTTCCCCTAAGCAGTCTAAAGCAAATAAACAATTGTGACAACAAACACTAATTGCCTGACCAACTCCTCGCATTGCCAGAGCATCAGAAACCATTCAAATATGCTTTGGAAATATCTTACCGCTAAGATTTTGGGAACAGGCTGCAATAATTGTTCTCATGGTGGCAAGGAGCTCTGCGCCAGACCCTGGTTCA